CATGCTATTCTAAAGGGGTTTTTTTTAACTTTCATTAATTGTACTTCATTCCTATGGTGGCTAGAAAAGTATCCTTGTGAAATCTGTGCTAACTGCACTTTTTGAACTACATAACATAATAGGAACATCATTGGCTAGTGGTTATATTGTGCTTGATGTGAAGGTGTGTCCTAGAAAAACTTCCAATGCCAATGCATTTGCACATGCTTCCTGTTAGGTTATTTTTCCAGCCCAGGGAACTAGCAATTCTTTCTAATTATTTACATACACATAATATCATTTTTTTTTTAAGATCAAATGAATAAACCATTATTGGTTGTTATTGGTTGGTCATATGATGGAATGAAATGACAGTTATTTGTGCTTTGATTTGGACGATATGGGGTTTTTGTCTGATGTTATTCTTCTTTTCATAACAGATTGGATAACCTCATCATTGAGGCTATAACAAGCTTGAAAGAGCCTGGTGGTTCTAATAAGACAACTATTGCAGAATACATAGAGGTAGTCTTTTATTTGCAGAACAAATATTTGAACGTTTCAATTTTTACTATTCTTATATTATCATGATCTCATGAATGTATAATGAACTGAGGAAAGATGATTTTTTTAATTACAAGGAACTGAGTATGGTGTCAAAGTGGTTACATGTATACTATATTTTCCACAGTGAGGCTTCTTAGGAGGCTTTGCTAATTGCTTTTGAAATTTAATTTTATTAAGAATGGGCCTAGGGACAGAACCACAAGACAAGTGATTCTAAAACTTTTTCCATCTCATGGTTTCAGAGCAATATGTGTCTGTAATAATTAATCTGCAAAAGAAAAAAAATATAATAAAAAACTGATTGGAAACTTCATTAGTAGCAGACCTCCTAACATGCACACAACATGTTTCAATGTCATCAACTATTTTCTCTCTCTAATACTGTAATTTGACTAGTAAACTCCAATTCTGTAAGCTCTTCAAAGCTACTTTCAAATGTTGAATACCTTTATCTATGAAATTTTTATTTTCGGTACTTTTGTCAAAATGCTTTATACTATTTTCAATCAATCTATTGTAAAGTACTCTCGTCATGTAATTGAAAAGCTGAATATGGGAACCTAGCAACAGTACAGTCCAAGCCAAGAGGATAATAAACAGAATTTTTTTTATGAGAATGAAAATATTCTAAAAGTTTGATGTTTATTTGTCAAATTAGTCATACCTAAATCAGAAACATGAAAGAATTTAAGTCGTGTTTGATAACATAAAGCCTACTGATAATTTAGGTTATGTCAAGGGATAGCATGACAAAGTTTTCCAAGGTTTTAATAGTATATATAT